GGTAAAAAAAAATCGATTTTTTAAATAAAAATTAAGGCAAAATAGTTACTAATACTTGACAATCTCAGTTACTATATGTGAAGAATTGGTATAATCAATATAATTTTGCATTTCATTCGGGCTTCGTTACGTTTCTGCTATCTAAAAAATTACAGTAATATCTCTATACTAATAAGCTAATAAGTAACTGCAAGACTTTTGCGAAGACTCTTGCGCAAGACCAAGAACATGCCAAGACTGAGTTTGCAAGACCAAGACTCTTCTCGGTCTCGCATTTGGGCAACACTAGTTATGGGCAAATATTTCTATCGATATTAAGCTTTCGATGTCCCATCCCTAATACAAGCCTTTTCCCAAGACCTGATTATTTCAACTCAGAGGATTTTGAAACATATATTTTCGTTGAAAAGTCGAATTTGATTTTTTTTACATTCACAGTACATTTCCTTAATATATTTCTTATATGGGTACGAGAGGGATATGGAGGACTGAGGGGGATAACACTTGTAAAGTACGCGTTGCCCGATAAACTTGATAAAATATAGGTAAGTGAACAACAATAAATTATATATATATATATATATATATATATATATATATAAATTTTATAACACTATTAGCTATTAAAAATATATAGCATTAATCAATATTAATAGTTAAGTTTATGCATGCGTTTTCCCTCGAAATTCTACTTCCTTATGCTTCGGAAGTTTTTTTTTTCCCCGTTTCGCATAAAATCGAAAGTTACATTGTAGATCGATTGAGTACATTTAACGCGTGGCGTGACACATTCGGCCAAGAGCTGGACGTTTTATATAAACTCTGCAGTAACTTTAGAAAACGTAATTTTAAAAGGAATGGAAACCTATGCAGAAGAGAAGAGATTTCCTACCGGGTGGTTGCGCAACCAGAATCAGTTAATGCAAAATTGACAAATGTAAAACTATACTAATATATAAAGATAATTTTTAAAAAATTTACGTTCGGAACTGGGCCATTCGTCAAATGAACTTTTTGTTGGAAATTTCGTCTATAATCACCCTCAGAGTTTGGCCATCAAGAACGGAGATTCCAGTTAATCGGATAAAAAAAATCAGTAATTTTAAGATTTCCGTAAAACCCTTAGCAATGACACTCACCTCGCTAAACGTGAAGAAAAAAATATCAAAAGAAAGTCTGAAACGTTTTTAAATATAAAAGGATTACTTCTGTTGTTTTAAAGTAGTTACTTAAATAAACTTCACTATCTCAGATTATTAGAATGAAAGAGAAAATATCAAATGGGTGCCAAGAAAAACTAAAACTTATACAATTTTTCAAGATAAAGTTTTAAGACCAATGGAGAAGCCAGTAACGATCTGTTAGGAACAGTTGAGGAAACCATAATTTCTCCGTTAAAGACGTTATCGCAAGTTCTGATCTAGTCTTACCGAGCTATCTCAGAATATAATAAATTAGTCCTGTATTTTAAAGCCTTTGATATCGTACAAATCAGAATCAAATTGTGTAGATAAATCAGGAAAATAAATATTTTGTTTATTTAGCAGTTTCAAGAATTTTTTTTTTCAATTTTTGTATGGTTCAATTATTTTCTTCAATTTCTTATGATTCTGACTAGAGACTTTTTATGTACAAAATCCGTGTTTTTTACCATAATTTTGTTTACAAAGACTGTTCAGTGTTTGACATTTCATATATCGTTGATCTGTCATGACATTGGTTTGAAAAGGTTCTAACTGCATTTACTATAATTTTGAGATACAGAGCGTCAATGTTACAATTTTATGTAGTTTGAATATTTTGTTACATAGACTAACAATTTTATTTGTACAATACCTTGAACCTGAGAACATGATTTTGCATTCTTCGATTACTTAATTGTACCACTTATTAATATAATTTTGAATATTAAAATTTTGCAGTTAGAACTTTGTCATTCTTAAATGATTTTTCGTGATGAGACAAGGTTTTAAGTTCAGATAGCAGCACTCTAAAATTTGAGGCTTTACGTTCCGTACGAATAATCGTAGCGCAGGGATCTTTTGGAGTCCTCTTTTCCCTCTATAGTTGGAGGGACAAGCCTGGCCTGGGTTTCTTTACCTGATTGTATATATTGTATATAAGTATGACTAAGTTTTTATGTTTTTAATTTACTTATCTTTAGGTTATTTTATTTTTTTATTGTATATAGTTATTGATTATTATTTTACTTTTGTTATTTTTATATTTTCTGTATATGCGGCGTGAATGCGTTCATATCTCAATATAATTATTGTCCACGTGATAGATTATTATGTTCCTAAATAAATAGATTAAAAAAAATAAAAGCCGAATTTAATACAAATATTTAGTACTCTTTTTTTCTTTAACAAATTGGTTCATTAAATTATATTTTCTTTTATAAGTTAAATTAAATAAAAGTTATTTATTCCAGAAAAAATAATCTACTGTTAAATCATTACCAAGTAATTAAATATGTTTGTATTTTTACAGAAACAACATCAAAGTAAAACATAAAAAAAATTCTGATCATATCATGATATATGGATTGCTAAAACCAGCATAAAGAATGCAAAATTTGTTTGTTTATACGATATATTTTTTAGATCTTTTATTTTTACCTAGGAATCCATCTGGACAAACGTCTAACTTGGAGTCCTCATACCAGACTGAAACGACAAGAAACAGCTCGACGTTTCCGACTACTCCAACACTTACTAGACAAACGCTCTAACCTTCCAATTAACTATAAAAGACTAATTTACATGACTATAATAAGGCCTATTTGGACTTACGGAGTTGACCTATGGGGCTCCACCAAACCTTCAAACTCCTCTCGCATCCAAAATCCTTCGTAAAATCCTCAACACTCCTTACTTTGTTACAAATAAAATTATCCATAATGACCTTAATGTTCCTTATGTATCAGATTTGGCCCAATCCAGATATCTGTCCTTCCAAAATAAACTTCATAACCATCCCAACCCTCTTGTTTCTAACCTTGCTTCCTATTCAATTACTGATAATCCTCCGAGGCGTCTGAAAAGAAGATGGCCACGTGATCTCCTAATATAGACATATTATTGGAGTGCTACCAATGGGTAGTTTCTCAACATGTGTTTCATGTCATTATATCCATGTACGAATTTACCGGATGTATACAGTTGTAAATATCATATAAATAAATAAAAATGATCTTTTATTTTCTAGAGTTTTTCTAAAAATTTATATTTTATTACTTACTTACTATGTGCATCTACAGCCCGGGGCGGGCCTTGTCTTCCCTGACAACATTGCACCAGTCCTCTCTGCACAACGCTCTCCTCCTTCAGTTCTTTATACCGAGACTTTCCAGGTCTTTTCCACATCTTCAATCCAACGTCTCCGAGGTCGTCCTCTCCTTCTGCTACCACATATCTTTCCCAGCAGAATTCTTTTTTGCATTTTCGATTCATTCATCATGCTAGGTGACCTAACCATTCAATTATCCTTACTCTTATGAAGCAGACAATGTCACAAGATCCATATAGCTCATATAGTTCGCTGTTCTTCCGGATTCTCCTATCATCCTTTTTCACCATACGTCCATAAATTTTACGGAAAATTTTCCTCTCGAAGATTTTCAAAGCCTTTATTGTTGGGGTGCAAAGGATCCAAGTTTCTACAGAATATGTCACTACTGGTATGACTAATGTATTGTACAAACTTGTTTTTGTGGTTCGTGACAACAGCGATGATCGGAAGAGTTTTATGTTTGCGTAGTCCAGTTACCTGCCATAATCCGTCTATTCACTTCTGCTGATATTTCATTTTTGCAATTATATTTTTGAAATAACCTATTCCAATTTGTTATACACAAAGAATAGTTCTTTACTAAAAAAATACATTTTTTTTAAGTATGCCTCTGTTTATCGGCTTCCGCCATCAGAGATCTTGCAGCCCAGCACCATTCCGATTTGGACGACGTGGTATCCTTATGTTCACCAAGTGCGAGCATACACCTAAATGCGCTGCGTCCATACGTGATCCCAAATTACATAGGTTACAATGTGGAGATTCTGTATCTCCTATTCTATGCAGGTGCTTCCTAAGGTAGTCGTGGCCTGTTATCATCCGAAACTCTGCCAGAGCTTCCTTTGTCGGCAGATTCATGGGAACTCGATCCGCTTCATTTAACAATTTTCTCCAATGCTTTTCAGAAATACAGCTCTTTACGGAATCCAGTAGTAGAGCCTCACTTGCCTTATTTATTTCTTTTTTGGTTAAATGATATGATATTCTATTTTATGGTTGGTTCAATGTGGAGCTCTCCTTAGCGAGTTTATCAGCCATTTCGATTCCATGGTTACCACAATGACTTGGTGTCCATTGGAAAAATACCTCTGTTCCTTGAAGAAGAAACTAATAATATAAATGTTATAATTTCATATCTAACTCTCATTAAAATAACTATCAATTAAGTACATACTAGAACAGTTAAAATCTTCTCGAACCTATTACTTTCAGAAGGTTGCCCGCAGTTAGAACCATGTCATAATGATAGTTTTCTTATTTTTCACTAAAATTCACTTGGAATCCAGATAACTTTGTTGTAAATGATTTCTGAGTGAAAACTAAATTTCGCCTAATTTGATGGTTGAAACCTTTTCAAACCAAGGCCATGGCCCTGCCTTAATGTTAAAATATTTTGTTTAGGTTATATTTTTAAAAATAAATTTTCTCGAGTGAATAACTTGGCCCTTCCATTTTCCTCGAGGTATTAAAATCTCAACCAGTTCTCTCCCAAAACTCATCTTCATCATGACTTCCAATTACGTCCCAATTAAAAAAGATTCAATTAGGAGAGTAAGTCCCTCGGTAATCCCATCTTTAGCCGGTAAACCGAAGGCAAATATGTAATCCCATTTCCTCTAATTCGGATTAGCTTCCCGCCTCGAGCTAAACTTATTTCCTCACCTAGCTAACTAAAGGTCTGGGGAATTTTAGCACCTAGCACTTACCTGTCCTTACGCATTGGTCGCTGAGGCACACTCGAGGGGAGTCAATCACACCTAGAAAATAAAATTAATTAATTTTTAATTAAAATTAATTTCAAAATTTAATAAAATACATTATGTTACAACTTAAATATTAATTGACACATGCAACTATAGTAATGTGGTATGCGCATCACACAACTTTCACTTACCACTATACTTTGAATAGAAATTATTTTCTGGAAATATTGAGCTACTAAAAATGTTGAATATATTTTTAACGGAGCTAAAGCTTAAGCCTTATTGCTAACAAATCATTAAAACTATTAAAATAAAAAAAAAACATTATTTAGACATCATCTTTTTTTGTTTACCACATATCTTCAGTCTCTAAGCTAAATATTCCTAGAGAGATTCGATTGTGAATCTGTATATTAAACCAATAAAGAATGGTATAAGCGAGGGATCGAGCAATTGGCTAGCAGATGGCTAATAACGGTAGATAACAATGGACTATACTTTGAGTATTAATTGTATTTTATATCAAAGAAATAATAATACAAATATTTGTTTTATTTATATACATGTACAGTTTTTCTTTTCTCTCTTGTACTTTTGTATTTAATTACCTATTATTATGTAAATATTTAATCTAACATTTCACACTGCAGATATTTATAACCCATGCTTATTTATATCACTTTGTTGTTTCTTTGTTTAGTTTATTTATATATGTATAGACTTGTTTTGTCTCTCTTGTTAATTTTATTTTTAATAATATCTATTGAATTGACCGATTCCGAGTGAATCGTGATTCTTGTGAATTATTTCAGAGTACGAATCTTTCAGTGGAATTGACTGATTCGATTCTCGATTCACCTGCCCATCTGTAGATTTGCTCCATCGAACCCTCTTCTGGTCACATTCGAATGACATTGAAAAAACATTTAACTGTAAAATTATATACCGAGTTAAATCAAGCTCTTTAAAGGCATTTTTGAGAAAACCGTAAATATGTGTAAAATCTATGACAAAAAGTGTAAATTCCAGTTAGCCTATTTTGAGGCTCCAAAGGAACTAAACTTGGTATTGAAATAATTAAAACAAAACAAACAAAGTTTGCAGCAGAAGCTCATGGAAAAATTTACAGTGTTTATGGGGATGGTGCCTTAACGGAACGCACCTGTCAAAATTGGTTTGCTAAATTTCATTACGGAAATTTTGACATCAATGATGCTCAACGGTCTGGTGAAGTTGAAACGAGCACTGTTAAGGCCATTGTAGATCAAAACCCCACCCAATCACTGCGAGAGATTGGTATGACCCTAAATGTGACGCACACGAGCGTAGAAAATCATTTGCACAAGCTCGGCTATGTTTCGAGGCTTAATGTTTGGTTCCCTCACCTGATTTGTTTTTCAAAATCACAAAAAGGAATTCCGTAAACAAACTTCAAATGAAGATAAAAAATAAAAATCTGTAAGGAGTTTTGGTTTATTTATTCCTTATGTAGGCATTAAATACAAAATAAAAAAAACATTCATACGGCCTTGAAAAGCAATAAGTCAGCATTCCAACGGATATAGTAACATCGAATTTGGAACATCCTAAGGAATTATGAATGAGCGGAAGGGTGTTGTGTTCTACCAAGATAACGCTAGGCCCCACATCTCATGGGTCACTCTCAATAAATTTAGTGCCTTCGATAGGATCTTTTGCCCCACCGTTCCTATTCACCAGACTTAGCTCCAAGTGACTTATTCCGGTCTCTGCAGTCATTCCATGAATGGAATGAAATTCATCAAAACCCACTTGGATCAGTTTTTTTAACAATAAACTCCAGACATTCTGTGAACATGACATTGCGCAGTTAGTGGAAAGATGGGGAAAAGTCATATTAAGTAATGGTCAATACAATGTTGATTAAAATAAATTTAATGTCTATAGTACATTGAGTTTTATTCCATCCTGAAAAACCGAAAGAACTTATTTGTCAACCCAATATTTTTTATCACAATACAATCATTTTTATTTATATAAAACCACATCACTCAGTGAGTGATCATTAATTTTAATCGAAGCAATGAACATCAAAGATCGATTTAAATTTTTATTTATAAATCAGCCATGATTTTTAAATTAAAAATCAAATATAATAATTATTAGATGATTTTGTGAGAAAAAAAATTATCTATTTCAAGTCCTGCTTTGAATTTAAGTAGGAGTTGTAGAAATATGAGGATTGAAATTGGCATAACTCACTTCTCTATGAAATTTTCATTCGTTTAATACCTCATTCATCTAAATTCATTGTTCCTGAGAGCTGGAAAAAGGATCTTTAATTCCGTATTATATATAGTCTAGATTAATAATAATAATATATATATATATATATATATATATATATATATATATATATATATATATATATATATACATATATATATATATATGTATGTATGTATGTATGTATGTGTATTTATGGGGCTGGGGTAACCGTACGGGCTAAGGCGCTTGCAATAGGTAATCAAAGTTAAGCAACGTCGAGCCATGCTGCCCGAGTCTCCCTCCCCCCGGGTATGTTAGGACCCGTCAGCCTACCGGAGGCAACTCACACCGACCGGGCGTAGGACTGAGGACCCTACCCCGTGTACTTTAATCGAGAATCGGGATGTTAACCAGGATGGTCGGGTGGTTAACCAGGATGTTAATAGCTCCCTGAGGTTCGGTCCATGGACCGTCTGTTTCGGGGAAAGAAATATAGGTCCTCGTGCGCCTGCAGACTCCGAGCACCCATAATCCATGGATCTAGACCGATTTGCCACTGTCCTGAATCCGAGAGAGTCGGTAGGAAGGACATTGCCAGATTGGCCATGGAAACCATGGTTCGTAGCAACGTGAGGTTGGGTGACCCTCTCCAGGCTATCTGAGCTGCCGCAAGTATCACACGTCTGTAAGGAGACCACATCACTCGGCCTAAGATCTTCATTGTCTGTAGTGCCAACCGAAAAAAAAACTATATATATATATATATATATATATATATATATATATATATATATATATATATATATATATTTAATTGTAATATTATAATCGTGTATTTTTTTATTTATTTATTTAGAAATAATCTGTCAAGTGGACAATAATTATAGTGCGATATGGGACACATTCACACTAGTGTAATATTTAAAACAAAATTAATTGTTTTTTTTTTTATTGGAAAGGAGGTCAAGAGCAGCTCATTCGAAAACATGAGGTACTTGGATACGAATGACCTACTTCGATGCAGATAAATTATGCTTTCGTGTCCCGTCCCATCAATCTAGGAACACCGTGATATGGGACATCGTACTAAATGAACAATTTAACTACTTTACCGTGAGAAAGCTTCTATTCGATTTCTGTAAAACGCTGCAAATTATGTCCCAATGGTTTATTATTTCAAAATAATTATGCATTAGAGTAACAGAAAAAAGAAATAAATTATTGGACTAAACATTTTTTTTTGTAATCATTAATAATATGCTAAAAAAAATAGTATTACTTCAGTAACACATTCAAAAATCAAAAACCAAAGCAAAGGATATAACCATTGCCAGTAGAACATATAAAAAACATCTGGAGACCATATTTAGTTTCGGAGGAAATGCGCGGACAGCTGATGGCGGATGGACAAAAAATTATTATTCGTTTTTCGAATTCTACGTATCCTGAAACGTAAAACATCAAATTTTGAGGAGGTTAAGTTTTTGAATTTTTGTTCCGTCACAGTTTAAAATAATAAACCAAAAGTATTTAAAAAATCGCGAAATCTTTACTAATATTGCTTTGATTTCGATGAAACGTTTTTATTTTTTAACAAACTTAAATAGCTTTGAAACATCTTAGCACAATATCTACAAAAAAGTATACGTTTTTAAGTATAAAAAGTATACTTTTTGAGTTATTCGGAATATATTACCATCCCTCAGAACTTTTTTCCAGCTTCTTTTCATTGAAGTATGTTATATAAATAAATTTAAAGGGCGTCGAGAAAATGACTTGATCGACGTTTCATTGAAATCCGTACATTCGTTTAGGAGCTACAGTCTATAGCAACGCAGGTTTTTCGGCCGCCATTTTGAAAGTTAAAGGCGGAGAGTAATGTCGATGAAGGAAGATCACCCTCGGGTTACTTATAATTTTAAATCTAAATTTGAAAAAATCGGTCAACGTAAATCCTTAAATTTTGAGAGGGGGTTAAGTTTTTGAATTTTTTGTTCGATAACAATGGTTCATTATTGAAAATAATAAACCAAAATAACTACACCGAAAAATATTAATATTTATTGTATTTCAATTTAATAAGCCATTTATATAATGAATATTTTGGACCACGGGTTCATGGGCAGTGAATGCCCTTCCCCTTCAGTTCTGGATAAGTCATTCTATCAGCCACTAATGAACATTTCAAGTCTTAGAATTAGGCCCCTTCCATCATAAAACCGTATAGGTGATTCAAGAAGTGGATATTGATTACAAGTCGGAAAAGAGAAAGAATAGTCAAACAACCTATGGATACGTATTTAATAAACAAGAAGGACAGAAGTTCATGCGGTAACTCGGATAAAATTTCAAATTCATTTTCAGTCTTAGCAGATAATACTATGGAAAATAATGTAAACACATGGCAGTAACCAACCATATGAAACGTTTCTAATCGTATCTCTTAATATATATCATGATGTAGAAGAAATAAAAAAATTAAAAAAATCCGCAACAAGTGTAATCGTATATATCTCCGATTTTTTTAATACCACCTTCGCTTGCTCTGTTTGTTAAAAAAAGGTGAACAATAATATATCTTGGAAGGGAAGCAGTCAGGGTCTTGAGCTATCGGCCTTGGGAGGAATGGACACCCCTGCCCAGAAGGGAGTTTCATGGCCCAAGTTGCGAAATCAAAATATTTGAAGGGACACATTTTGTCGTGTTTTTGAATTTTTGGGAGGGGCACAATTCGACGGGGTTATGAATTTTCGAAAAGCAAAGTTTCAAACAAGGGAAGAAGAGGACAGCAAAGAACAAACCACTTA